GTACCTTCATCCTGTTTCCTGTGTTATCATGACTTGTGACTTCCTGATACCGACTTGGCTGCTCTTGGACCTGTCTACTCTGCTTAACCCCTGATCTGACCTCCGCTTGGCTAACAGATACTCTCTCTCTCCCGCTCCTTGGTGTATGACCTTGGCTATCCCATCTGATTACGTCTGTTCTTATTCCCACCTGGAACCTGACCTTGGCTTGAATCGGCTATCCAGTAATCCTCCATTCCTGGAAGGGCTTGCATACCTCGCACAGGCGCCATCTGTCTGCAGACCTCATCTCCGTGCATCAGCTGTGGACCACCAACAAGCACTCCTACAAGCGACATGTGCAACTTTGAGCCTGACTCCCGCTGTCCTACTCTCAGGGGAGTCTGGAACGTAGCCGCAAGGGAAGCCCTCTCTCCATTGGCCTCCATCACCTGATAAATGGACCCAGATTTAATACATCACTTGGGGATAATCCTTATGCCATGTGGTTGTTTCTTATATGCATATGTAGCACTCTCCTAGGTAGCTAGGGGGACCTAGTAGGGTTTTTATTTTTTCAGCTAGTAAGGCTTAATAGCAGTTGGGGAGATAGTCAGAGGGGTAAATTTGAAGCAGGGCTGGGAAGCTCTGCATGTCAGTTCCCTGAGATCTACCCCTGTTCTAGAAACTTGGAGAAGGTCCTAGAAGCAGTGGGCAGGGGTGAGAAGGAGCTCTTGAGGGATCCTGGCCAATCCCCAGGCAGGAGACTTGGCATGGAGTCAGGACAGGACAGATGCTGGGAGGGGGCCCAGTGGCAAGGGGCCTACCTACAGTCAGGAAGCTGGAAAGGAGTTACCAACCTACCAGCTTACAGGAAAAGGACAATAAAAAAGGAAAACAGTCCTACAGCTCCTGGACCAGCTAAGGGGAGAACAGTCCTCTGGCGGGAAACCTTAGCTCCTTACTCGGGACTGTTCAACTTACAGTGGCAGGCACTGGATCCCCTTGCCCAGGGATATCCTCCAGGCAGCTGGGTAAAGAAGAGGATTTATCTGGCGTGTTGGGTGGTACACCAGGAGAGACTTGAGAGCTCTATTACTGTCAATGTCTTCAACAAGAATCTTTGGGGCTTACAGGAAATCTGGAGCCAAGCGAACATCTTTAATGATGAGAGTGTTTAAAAATGGAAAATACATGCATTAAGCCAGATATGGTACACAGCAGTAGTTGTGTGGAAACAAAGAAATAGATGACTCTGTGTTGCCATGGAAATCATACTGTATAAAAAGAAAGTTGTCAAGGCATGCGGAGCTTCTACTCTTAAGCAGCTACTCGAGTGAAGAAGGAAAAAAAAAACTTTCACCCAGTTGTAGTAACTTCTAGCCTCCCATTAAAATCTTGTATTTTGTTTGCTTCCCATTCCATTTACTGTATGTCTTTACAATAAAAAAAAGAACATGGAGCCACCATTTCCTGTATAATAAGAGCCATGATCAGGGTTCTCATTAAGCTGTGAACAGGTAGGGGGGTAGATGATATAGCTCTATTATCAGGGCCCAGAACTGAGTTGATGAACTCTGGTGATATGCTGTGTCTGGTGATATCTCTTCTTGCTGAACCATCTGGGATTCTGGACAGCTCCATGGGCAATTCTTTAGATGAACCTGCCTTGAACCTTGTTTGCCTTGAACAGGTAGGGGGCAGATGATATAGCTCTATTATCAGGGCCCAGAACTGAATCAATGAACACTGGTGATATTCTGTGTCTGGAGATATCTCTTCTTGCTGAATCATCTGGGATTCTGGACAGCTCCCTAGGCAATTCTTTAGATGAACTTGCCTTGAACCTTGTTTGCCTTGAACAGGTAGGGGGCAGATGATATAGCTCTATTATCAGGGCCCAGAACTGAGTCGATGAACTCTGGTGATATTCTGTGTCTGGTGATATCTCTTCTTGCTGAGCCATCTGGGATTCTGGACAGCTCCCTAGACAATTTCTTGGATGATCCTGGCTTGAACCTTGTTTGTCTTGAACTTTGAACCCTTTTCTCCTTCCATGAACTTCCTATTAAAGCCATGCCTTTGCATTTCCTGTTTGTTACATTATTCTCTCCTGACAATATCTTGCTCTTGTCTCTCCTGCTGCTGTCCATATCTCTGCTACCACTTGTTACCGACCCTTGGCTTGTTCCTCAACTACGCTTATGCTTGATCCCTACCTGCAATATTGGCTACCAGACGCCGGCTTGCTCACCTCTTGGTATGGTGATCATGAGGGCTGTGACCTGGTACTGAAAGGAAGCAAAACACATCTCCACCATCAAGAGTTCTGATGAACAGTACTTAGACTCTGAACCTCAGGTGAGCTTGTTTTATTTGCCAGGGTGACCTTCTTCTGTACTTTTCCAGCTGGTTGCCTCGCTTCTGCAATAGCTACTGGCTTCCAGATTGTGACATCTGTGCTCTTTTTCATATGTGTACATGTCTATTCTTAGCTGTGTTGTTGACAAACGTCTGTCTTTTCCACTCTCATAATGTCCAATCATGATCTCGTCTTTATCCTCTAACTTTACTGATTTTTATATTAGGAAATATGGGGACAGCTTCCAGTTTTGATGTTCATACATACCATACCATCTTTAGGGGTCCACTCTGGGCACCCTATATTTCTATAATTTGCAACTTTTAAGATATTACTTATCTATCAGTATGCTCGATGGAACCACCGTACAACATATTCTCATACCCTGTTTATGCATTTCTTAACAGAAAATGCTGTATTATTGTACCTGACCAATCCATTTCATTGGATTGTACTAACTTGTTTCTGTCATAATATCTGTCATACTTTGTGTATGCTTTAATCTGTTTATCGTCTCAGAAAAAAAAAACTAATAAAGAGATAAAGTTAAAAAGCCTTCATTAGCTGAAGCTGAAAGTTATACGCTCAAGTGAATGAGTCAAAACTTGACTCCTCCCCTTCCTTTCCCTGCCTAATCTCTTCAGGCAGCATAGAGAGGTTTAGTTAGAGAGAATGTGTGAATGCAAACAGCTTCTGCTAGAAAATCCAAAGTATGCTGTGACGTGTCAGGGGTTCACCTTGTACTAAATATTTAGCTAGAAGTCAGATATTTTATATAAATAGAAAAGAAAAGTAAGACATATAAATAAAAATATAAACTTTGAAAAAAATTAAATACAAATAATTACAGAATAATTACAGAATGGGCTTGAACGGCAGTAGCATATGTTACGTGGCTATACTTACTGATTGGTCAATCAGTGATCATATGAATAGGTGTAAAAAGATGTCACTTCTGACATCATTGTTTACTACGTGTGAAATCTGTGAATGATCACCGAGATCACATGGTACAAGGCTATTCACAACAGCCTTGTACCATGTGACAAACTGTGACCAATCACAGCTCTCACAGTATTTCTCAATGGCTGCAAGAATGCAGCCAGGGAGAAGGAGAAATGATTGCTTTTGTAGCCTTTATGGATGTAAAAGCAATCAGTGTAAAATAAAAAAAAAAAAAATCTTCATCACCCCACACAAGTAGTACAGTGTCACAATTGTGACACTGTACTGCTAGGGTGACAGTATGTTAAAAAAAAACATAAATAATATTAAAAAAAATAAAATAAAAATGTAAAAAAACATTTTTGAAAAATTATAATTTTTAGTTATAAACTAATTTTGTTTTTTTTTTTTTTTTTACTAAAAAGATAACAGAATAAATTTTGGCCAAGATTTATGAAGAAAGATTATTTATTTTGCAAAATTTTATAGGAAAAGCACTTTTTTTTCAAAATTTTTGGACTTTTCCATTTATATAGCAAAAAAAAAAAAAAAATACCAGTGGTGAATAAATACCACCAAAATAAAGTTTTATCTGTCTCAAAAAAATGCTAAAAAATTCATATGGGTAGAGTGTTGCATGACAGCGCAATTGTCATTCAAAGTGTGATAGCGCTGAAAGCTGAAAATTAACCTGGACAGGAAGGGGGTAAAAGTGTCCGGACATGAAGTGGTTATTAAAAAATTACACCAAACATTTAACTTGGATTTCAAATGCCCATAGGAGCCTTTTTATTAACAAAACCATAAATTAACATAACAAATTCTCACAACAAACTTTTTAGCAATAAAATATGTTCTGACCCTTTCCTTTTTGTTTCAGGTTCCCGAAGGCCCCCTTTTTACTACCGCTTCAGCTGCATCATCCACCACATTCCTGTTCTGGCCCCTAGTCACAGTTACACCGGCTTAGGGACCAATTGTTGACCCTTCTGACACCCAATACAGCCGGATGACCGATAGCCCCAACTGCTGTCACTTCAATAGGTAAGGTATACCCATACCGAGATGGGCCCTACCCATTGCGCTCCACCTACTGTTTTTGTACCATACTGGCCTACCAGAGACCCCTGCCCCTGATATGATAACAAAAAACCCAACCCAACCTAAAAAACCTGCAACCTACAACACCCTAAACTGGTTCTCGGGAAAAAACCTACCACACCAGGACCCGGGATGCTCCCATACTAAACGACGGGAACCGCCGAACCAATGACAACGGTTAAAACGGGAGGGCAAGTTTCTTCTCCTCAGACCAAGCTCCCACTGACCCTCATGGATCTCCCACTAAGCCACATCTGCCACTCCCCCACACCGCACCCAGACCCACCTTCTCGACCACCAATAAGGTAAGTCTTACCATCCCCTTTTATATTAACTAAGTCTCTATCCTTCCAAGCCAACTCAGTCATGCAGGGCCTCCAATTAATGCTGCCTATACAGTTCCTGGCCCTTTCTTTAAGTTTTCAACTCTTTGATATTCATTCGGGCAGTCTAGATTGCACTTCATACTGCAGCAAGCCTGTGCTTGCTTTATCACTAGTCACAAAAAAGGCCCCTTATCACACGGGCTGTTAGATTTTCAGCTTTTATCTGCTGTTAGACGAACTTATTTACCGCAGATAAATGCAGAGAATCAGGGGCGGACTGACAACTTATGGGGCCCCCCAGGCAATAGGGGATCATGGGGCCCCTGTGTCCTTGCCCAAACTCAAAAAAGCCTATGAAAAAGGTACCAGGGGCATCTCATGGGGCCCCCTACTGACCCCGGGCCCTCAGTTAATGCCCCGAGTTTCCAAATGGTCAGTCCGTCCCTGCAGACAATGCATTCCTATGGCTCCATTCACACACTGCGTTTAGCAGCGTTTTCATAACATACGGTTTTATGTGTTTAGGAAAAATAAAGTTGACAGCATCCAGGAGCGATGTACTGTAGTTATCTGTACATAAACATAATTAATCGCAGTACAAAGAAAAAATAAGTAAACAGTTGCTATAGAAAAGGCAAAAATGTACTACCGCAGCTAAACGCAGCCGCATGTAAACGCATGTAATCACAGATAAACGCAATGTACAAACGCAAGTAATCTCTGTGCCAGGAGTGTTGGAATATCAAAATAAAAAAACATGCATTTATAATCAGCAGGACAACCGCCCACATGAATGTCCTCATGCACACTTGACTGTTTTACAGCGGCTGCTTTTGGCTTTTCACATTTTTTTCTACAGCTAGTAAACCCCCCAGTATATTATCCTATGTGTCCATACATACATAGACTGGGGCAACACAGTGGATACAATGGTTAGCACTTCCACCTGGCAGTACTAGGGTTGTTGGTTTAAATCCCAACCACAGCACCTCCTGCCTGGAGTTTGCATGTTCTCCCTGTGCCTGTGTGGGTTTCCTCCCACACTCCAAAGACATGCTGGTAGGTTAATTGGCTCCTGTCTAAATTGGCCCTAATATATGTATATATGAATGTAAGTTAAGGACCTTAGATTGTACACCCCTTGAGGGTTAGGGACTGATGTGAATGTACAATATATATATAAAGTGCTGTACAAATTGACAGCACTATATAAGAACCTGAAATCAATAAATAGACTGGAATCAATGTTTTTTAGCAGGGACGTTTTTTGGCTGACTAGTGGGTTTCTAGAGGAGTTTTTTAGCTGTAAAACGTTCTAACGCCGAAAAATGCGGCAAAACGTGGTAAAAACACTGTAAACTGGTGTTTTTGGACTTTTTTAAAACCAAAAAATATGTTTTTCTTAAAAAAAAAACTAAAAACCACAAACGGTCAGTCTGCCCCTGCAGCTAACGTTGCCAGTATTATCAGAACGCCCCGAGTGCATGAGGACTAAAGCTGGCCATACACATATTTTTCCCTTCAGCCTCCAGGCTAAATTACAAAACTCTAACAGATTGCTCCATCCACACTACATAATGTGGATGGAGAAATCTCCATCTGTGGCTGTTGTAGTTTGACACTGGGCGCTTCCGGATGTCCAAATACCTGAACAGCAGTTGCACTTGATTGCAGCTGCTGTTTGACTGCCAATTTTTTGGACAACAATTTTACTTTAGATTACTGCAGGCCATACATGGGTCGAATTCCAAACAAATTTTCTTTCGAAAATCGTAATTTTCGTGCGTTTGGTAAGCCACCATCATTGATTTTAAATTCAACCAACCAAGCCTTCAATTTAACCTCATGTGGCTACAGAAAATAATTTTCATGGCCAGAATTTTAATTTCTTTCCAGGTCACAGCTCAGGCTTATTTCTTTTTCATTTATATTTCTCGCACGATTCTCCCATCATTGATTCGAAATTCATTTGTTTTTAAAGAAATTTCCAACATGCCCAATCACTCAAATTCGATGGTTACACGAAAACCGTCTGTTTCTGTGGCCCACTAATGGTGCGAAATTCAAACGAAAATTCTTAGAATAGATTTTCGAAAGAAAATTCTTTCAGAATTCAAACACATGTATGGCCGGCTTAAGGCTCTGTGCACACTAGCATTTTTTCAAGCTCATATTTCAGGTCTGGCTACTGACCCAGGTCAATATGTGGGACGTTTAGCACCTGATGGATAAATGCATGCACTAGCTGTTGGGATTTGAGCACAGGTATCTCTTGTTTGTTGTATTGCTGGGTCAGTAGCCAGACCTGAACCTGGTAGCTCTCCACCACTTTGTCTTTTCCCCTATGTTGGGATTGTGTCCACAGTAGCATTTGCATAGGCAGAGCAGAGTAGGACTGGTCATAGAGGGATTACTTTGACACAGTTGGTCATAGAGAGGATTACTTTGACTACAGTTGGCCATAGAGGGATTACTTTGACGGGTTGGCCATAGAGGGATTACTATGACGCAGTTGGCCATAGAGGGATTACTTTGACGAGGTTGGCCATGAGAGGGATTACTTTGACGCAGTTGACCATAGAGGGATTACTTTGACGTGGTTGGCCATAGAGGGATTACTTTGACACAGTTGGCCATAGAGGGATTACTTTGACGCGGTTGGCCATAAAGGAAATACTTTGACACAGTTGGCCATAGAGGGATTACTTTGACGCGGTTGGCCATAGATTGATTACTTTGACCCAGTTGGCCATAGAGGGATTACTTTGACGCGGGATTACTTTGGCCATAGAGGGATTACTTTGACGCGGTTGGCCATAGAGGGATTAGTTTGACGCAGTTGGCCATAGAGGGATTACTTTGACGCAGTTGGCCAGCTTAAACATGTATTGCAATATGTGTGAACTAAATATCCCTATTTATTGCAGAGTCTGCTTGAAAGGGTATATACCAGTGTGCAGAGGGCCCTTCAGAATTTCTAGTATTAGATCTAATGGCATGTTGCCCGCACTGGAAATTGCAACCGTACTGGGAACTGAGGTTGCCGTTCGGGTTGCGTTTTCAGCAGAGGTGCAGGGACTTCTTCCCTGCATGTCACAGGGCACGGGAGTCCATTCAAATAAATAGGCTCTCGTACCCGCGCAAAATGCGGACCTGCAGGAACGCGGACATGCAAACCAGGGGTAAGAGTTACTCTACCAATATGTGAAATCTAATCAACTTATGCAAGTTCATTAAAAAGTTATTCCCACTTTTTGGAACAGCCCTTGTATATTTATTGTAATATAATTTCATTATATTTTCATTATAATTTAATTAATAACTGGATTCCATACAGATTTTGAGGTGCGTACACTGAAAATTGTCATTTTTCCTTCAGGTAAGGATGCGCCGAGCCCCAGGTCACTGCTTATATACTTTTATTTAAACCTGAGCAATAAAGCACACAGAGATCAGGGAACACCTGTGTTGTCTGCCCGGGGTCTAACTGCTATCCTTCCTTTCTAATCAGCTTACGCTGCCTGCATGTTTTATGTGGTACTGTTAATGTAAGTGTCAATTATCACTTATAAGATTTGCTTTTTTCATAGGCGCAGCACCAAAAGAAGCTTAAACAGCAGGATGGCTCTGACTCATTACAACTACAGTGTACAGCCACCTGCCTGGATAATGTTCATAACATCTTGTTTCTGCTCACTAAGTCTCATCGGCTGCCTCTTTTTTCTGCTCTTTTTTTTTATTCAGCTTAATTTTAATGAAGCTGTTTCCCTCTTTTCATAATGACAATCAAATGGAATTTGGTGGAGAATAGGACACCACTTAAAGTGTTACTAAACCCACAACAGAAAATCAGTCTGTATATGCAGTAAAGCATGCTTGTTATACCCACTGTGGAACCTAAGGGGTTAATCCTCTGCACTGTGTAAAAAGGCTGTTTGATCAGGGGTGTATTTACTACAAGGCAAACAAGGCATTTGCCTAGAGCCGCATTTTTCAGGGGGGCAGTGCTGCCCTCCAAAAAAAGGAACACACGCTGCATGGGGACCAAGTGGGATCCAAGAGAGGCTGCAAGATGTTTGAAAGCGTATGCAGAACCCAGCTCTCGTTCCCATGAATATCCGGAGCTCTGAAGGTGAGTGTCTGAGTTTCTTTCCTGCTCTTGTCGGGGAGGGGGGGGGGGGGTTGCGGCAGGTGTATGGGGCAGGCAGTGGTAGTGGAAGGCTGTCATCAACTGGGGGGTGGTGTTGGTTGGTGTCAGGTTCTCTCCTTTGGGGGTGGGTTGCTGGTTGGTGTTATGCTCTCTCTGCGCTTGGGGGGGGGTGTTAGCCGGTGTCAGGCTCTCTCTTTTAGGGGGTTGTTGGTCAGTTTTATGCTCTCTCCATGGTGGGGGGGGGGTGCTGGTTGGTATCAAGCTCTCTCTGCGGGGGAGGTTGGGGTGGCTGATTCTTGTGTTGTCTAGGGCAGCACAAAACCTAAATACACCACTGCATTTGATCCTGACTTCTCTGCTCCCTGTCTTGTTCAGATGCCCCCTCTTATCTCAGACAGACTGAACCATAGCCATTCTGCACATGCTCAGTTTAGTGTGTATTGGGCAGCACAGTGGCTAAATGGATAGCACTTCTGCCTGGCAGTACTAGGGTCCTTGGTTCAAATCCCAACCACTGCACCACCTGCCTGGAGTTTGCATGTTCTCCCTGTGCCTGCATGCAGGGGCAAATGTACCACAAGGCAAACAAGGCACTTGCCTAGGGTGGCATTTTTCAGGGGGGCAATACATCCCCCCAGACGAAGGGATGGAAGAAGGGAAACACACACTATGGGAACCAGGTGGGATCCGAGAGAGGCTGCGGGCTGCTTGATGGTGTATGTAGAGCCTGACTCTCGTTCCCGGGGAGCTGTGAAGATGGGTGTCTTTCTCTCTATTGAAATCAGGGACACTTGGAAGGTATGGTGTTAGTCTATGTTTCCATGCACACATAGACATTTAGGCCTGGTCTACATCTATGTAGGTGGTTGCAGGTGCAGGAATCACAGCAAGATGTGACAGCAGTAATTGTTTGAGAGCAGACATGAAGCCATGACCCATCGGTTGCCATCATCAGGGCATCACCAGCCATAATACAATACTTTGTTCTTATGGCTGAAATGCATTGACTCTTTGTACACATTTGTATCAATAAAATCATGATCCCTTTCTATCTTCATGTTGGAGACTATAGATTCATGAAGCTTCAGTCACCACAGTTATCACACTTTTGAGAGACTGACCACTCACAGGGCTCTTGAAAAGTCAGGTGGCAACAGCAAACCCTTCATACTGAACACTAGGTCTACACCAACGTAAAACCAAAATTAGATATCTACTTGAATGATCTAGCCCTGCCTCACGCATCCATTTGCACTACTCAAGCAATGCCTCAAATCTGTTA